GGAGGTAATGGATTCTCTAGGAAATAAGGGTTACTATCAAAATATTCCTTAGGGTGAAGATTTAACTTAAAAGGTGACCCTTTGAGTAATCGATGGTGTTCTTCATTTTCTGCCTGTACGGTGAAGAGTTTGAAAGTACACAATGTAAGTTACACATGGTAGACAGAATTCAAGGCTAACGTCACCTTTAAATTAATTATACATGCAAAAGGAGACATGCCTACTTATGAATGAGCACAACTCTCATTTTGAACAGAATTTACTTGAGATACAGCAGTCTATAACCTGAGCAAATAGTTACTACATGCCTGCTCATCAGGAAAGAAAAGGATTGGGTTCTAAGTCAAATCCCAACTCCTCCTTCTTTTAGCATTTTTCAAGAATTAAAGGAAGCTGCTGACCTTTGGTGTCATATCTTCAAGTGCAAATAGGAATTTCTCCTTGATATTATTAAAGATTAAATGAGATTATGGAAAGAAAGTATTTGGCACATGGCTGGCCCTTAGTAAATATCATTTTTTAGTCTTAAGCACAAAAAAATACTTCCATTTACATTATAACATTTTTATATTACAGTATTTTTAGCTACCTAATACTCAAGCAAAACAAAGGTTATTTTTTCAGTCTTATATTACAATCCTTTCTATGTGGAAGAACTAAGTTTAAAAATTGCTAGCTTTGGATAAAATATCAAAAAAAGAGTTGTGAAATACATAGTTAGAAGGATGAAATATTGATTTTTTTCATTTTTACACACATGAAATTTGATTTTTCTTCCTTTAACAAGCTGAATGGGAACAATTTAAATGAGACTTAAGTGCTCAAGAGAAGACATGTATTCCCTACTAAGCTGTGTTGGCTAGTTTTGTGCCAACTGGACACAAGCTACAGCCATTTGGAAAGAGGGACTCTCAGTTGAGAAAATACCTCGATAATATTGTCCAGTAGCATAAAAATAGACACATTGATCAATGGAATTGAATTGAAGATCCAAACATAAGTCCACACATCTATGAATGCCTGATTTTTGACAAAGAAGCCAAAAGTACACAGTGGAGAAAAGATAGCCATCTTCAACAAATGTTGGTTAAATGGGATGGCTGTATGTAGAATACAAATATATCCATATGTATCACCCTGTACACAATTCAACTCCAAGTGGATTAAGGACCTCAAAATAAAACCAGATACACTGAATCGCATAAAAGAGAACATAGGGAATAGACTAGAATTCCTAGGCACAGAAAGAGACTTTCTGAACAGAACATCAACAGCACAGCCACTAAGAACAACAATTAATAAATAAGACCTCATGAAGCTGAAATGTTTCTGCATGGCAATGGGCATGATCATTCAGGCAAAGCAGCCGTCTGCAGAATGGGAAAAGACCTTTTACCAATTATACAGCTATTGAAGGATTAGTATTTAAAATATATAAAGAACTAAAAAAAAAAAACTGGACATCAAAAAATCCAATAAGCCAGTTGAAAAATGGGGACAGAGCTAGGCAGAGAGTTCTCAAAAGCAGAAACACAAATGGCTGAAGAACTTAAAGAAATGTTCAACATCCTTAGCCATCAGGCAAATACAAATTAAAACAGCTTTGAGATTTCATCTTACACCAGCCAGAATGGCCAAGATCAGTAAAACAAATGACAGCTCATGCTGGTGAGGATGTGGAGTAAGGGGACCACTCATCCATTGCTGGTGGGACTGCAAACTTGTACTGCCACTGTGGAAATCGACAGACAGTTCCTCAGGAAGCTGGGAACTGATCTACCTCAAGACCCAGCAATACCACTCCTGGGCGTAGACCCAGAGGACTCTTCACACAAGGACACTTGATCAACCATGAACACTGCTGCTCTATTCTTATTAGTCAGAAGTTAGAAAGACTCGATGTCCATCAACTGATGAATGAAATTCTCAGGTAAATGAATGGAACTAGAAGAAAAAAAGAAATCATCCCAAGTAACCCAAACCCAAAAAAAGACAACTATTCCATGCTTTCTCTTCCATGTAGATGTTAGGTTTTAAGCCTTTCATGTGAGTGCTACAATCCGAATGACCTCAGAGGTCGGGTACCTCATAAGGAGCCAGCAGGGAGGAGAGAGACTCCTAAGGAAGGAGACAAAGGGAAACTAGAAAAGGAGGATTAACTAGGGAGGGGATGGCAGTGGGGGGTAAAGAAGGAAACAAAGGGGGTGACAGCGAACAGGAACAGTAAAGGCCATCTGAAAGGCCATATAGCAACCTACTACCACAGGAGACTCCTAGAACACATACATGTTTGAAAAGAGTCTAAGTGGAATCAACAAATAATAGGGAAGACCAAGCCCCAACTAGCCATCTTATGCTATCAAAATCTCCAAAGACAGAAATGAACATCGTATTGAGATACAGGCCAAAGGGGTCCCATGTAAAACCCCAAACAGTAGAGGCTATTGGTGAGGCTATATATGGTACTCTCCACGATATGATGGTAAGGCCCTAATGCTGGAGACAACACTTACATATGTCATCAAAACATGAGAAGTCGGGCTGGTTCCTAACTACAAGCGTCACTCAACTATTGTTCACGGTACAGGAAGGTACTCTGCGTGCTATGGAAGGAGAAAGGTAATCCTCAATTTCTCCCAGCTACAAACCCTGTGACCTACCACAGCAATCTCCCTCAAACAATTTATGGGTGCGATAGTGGCACAAATGTTTTGGGAGTAATCAACCACTTTCTGATTGGATTTAAGGCCAACCCCATGAGGTGGAACCCATACCTGACACTGCTAAAGTGGCCAAGAATCGAGATAGGCCATTTGCCTAGGGGGAAACCCAATACTATTATTCTGCTAAGTTAAATATAGCTATAAAATGACTCTAATGACCTACTGTCCTCCCCATAGGTCAAGGGCTTGGTCAGCCCTCGTCAGAGAGGCTTCCTCCTGTAATGTATAATTAAACATATCCATAACCTGAAAGAGTACAGAGTGAGAGACTTTGGAGTACTCAGTCCTAAATGGGATGTCGTCATCAAAGCCCTCCCCTTAAGGTCAGGGATCTATGCAGAAGAGGAGACAGAAAGATTGAGAGTCAGAGGGGATGGATGACTTCACGGAAACAGTGTCTTCCAGACACAACAGGACTGAGGCACATATAAACTCATAGAGACTGTGACAAGTCCTGCACAGGTCCAAGCCGGATGAGGTTCCAGCAATGAGAGGGGGAAGTGGACATGGCCTCCCACCTAGAATCTAGAAGCTGTCTGCATTTGATACCTGCTGGCAAAGATAAAAGCAGTTTTCTCCAGCTGAGTCTCACTGGGTATGTCAACCATACTTCAGGGCAGGCCCTGTGCCCAGGAGTTGCCAGCCAACACAAAATGAACTCAGTGGCACTTTTGTAGTCTTCTTGTCTCATTTTGCTTTGTTTACGTATTTTTGCCTTATTAGGCTTTTGCTTGTTTATTTTGATTTCCATTTGCATGGGTTTGTGAGTTTGGGTTTGGAGGTTTTTGTTTTCGTGGGTTTTTTTTTTTAATTTTGTTTTATTTGTATGTGTATGTGTATTTCTTGTATTTGTTTGTTTGTTTGAAAGCAGTGGTTCTCAACCTTCCTAATGTTGCGACCCTTTAATACAGTTCCTCATGTTGTGGTGACCCCCAACCATAAAACTATTTCATTGCCACTTCATAACAGTACTTTTCCTACTGTTATGAATTGCAATGTAAACATCTGACGTACAGGATATCTGATATGCAACCCCAAAGGAGTTATGACCCACAGGTTGAGAACCACTGTTTTAAAGAAAGAGAACATAAAGTTGGGTGGGTAGGGGGGGTAGAGATGATCTTGGAGGAATTGGGGGAGGGGAAAACATGGTCAAAATATATTACATGAAAAAAAACCTTTTTTTTTTTTCCAATTAAAAACAAAAGACTGGCCAGTAGGCAAGTCCATAGTACATTCTATTAATTAGTGATTGATAAGGGAGCTCATTATGAATGGTGTCACCCTTGAGCTGGTGGTCCTGGGTACGATAAGAAAGCAGGCTAAACAAGACAGTAAGCAGCATCATTTTGCTTCAGTTCCCACCTCCAGGCTCTTACTCCACTTGAACTCCTGCCCGATGTCCCTCAGGGATGGTATGTGACCTGAGAGTCGTAAGTTTAAAAAAGGCCTTCCTCCCCAAGCTGCTTTGGTCATGGTGTTTTATCACAGCAACAGAAACCCTAAGACATAAGTGCATGCTGTAGCTCTCTCAGACTTCTTACTCCTCCTGAAGTCTCCTCCTGCTTTGTAATTCATCTATTTCCCTGTAGGACTCTGTGAGTTCTTAGCCATGTGCCTTCCTCTTCCCACTGGAGCAGTGAAATTGATCTTTTTAACTATTATATGTATCCTTTGAATAGTGTTCCTTAAAATTTAGTTCTCCTGGGAATCAATTGATAATCCATTCAGAATATAAATTACCAAGACCTTCCCTCAAAGACTTCTGATTACATTGACCTGCTCTGTGGCCTTTTTATCAGAAATGTTAACATTCACCCTATGTAATTCTAATGCCTGCTATTATAATACAATTTTTAAAAATGTGTATGGGTGTTCTGCCCATATGTATGTCTGTTAACCGTTTGCATGCCTATTGTCAACAGAGGCCAGAAGAGGACATTGGGTCCCCTGGAACCAGAGTTACAGGTGATTGTGAACTGCTATGTGAGTGCTGGGAAGCAAGCCTGGGTCTTCTGGAAGGGCAGCCAGTGTCGATGGAGCCATCTCTCCAGCACCACAGAGCAATGTTTTAAGAATCCTACGTTTACTAGACTGTGGTCATGTTTTATCAGAACACTGTTTTGTTTTGCTAACTGTTGGCCTAGAATATTGCTGATCAACACACAGATACCCACCCCAGTGATCAAAAGAGACAGAACAAAATAAATGTTTATTCTGAGTTAATGTGCAAAGTTGAACAAATAAAGGTTGAAACATTCAAAACACGATTTTTACCTTATAATTCAGTTTCGCTGCATCATATAAGTCAGCAGAGTGTGCAAGCTGCTTGCCTATGGTAACATTGGCATAGCTAAAAGAGGAGTAAGTGATGGTGAATGCAGAGCTCAGATGATTTTGTAAATACAAAACAAACCACATAAAGGTACTAAGAATATCTTACCCATATCCAGTTCCTTTTTTTCCCGGGTTGGTATATAAATTCTTCCCAGGTGGCTGATATTTGTCCCTGGGTCTTAGCTGTGCACTGAAGAATGGGATAGGGCCACCAATGGTTCCATAATAGCTTCCTAATCCACTTCTTCAATACCATTTGGGGTTTTAAAAAGGAAGATATTAAAATGTCAACTTGTGCCCAGCAGCCGTCCAGCAGGTCAGAGTCCTGCAGGCAGGCCACTCCACCATCACCCCCGCTCATTGGACTCTGTAAACTTTAAGACCCGCTCTGCTGTCCAAGCCTACCAAACCCATCCTCCTCCTCCTGGCCAACCACCGCACTCCCCCACCCCCACAATATACCAGCCCCTAGAGGCACAAGCACCACCTGTACCAATTGGAAGAAGAACAGCGTCCCCGTGAACAGCCCTCTCCAGCAACATCAGCAGATCCTAGACGTACAAGTGCCACCCACACAAGTTGGAAGAACAGGCACAGGCAAAACCTACACCAGTTAGAAGAACAGACCCCATAGGCACAAGTAAAGCCCACACCAGCCAGGAAGAACTGGATAATACCCTGGATCTAGGCATCAAACCCCCACAAACCTCAGCTGAGACATCCCTACTGGACTTGACAACCATCCAATCACCAGAACCTTTGGCCATTTTGGCCTAAAGACAATAAAGGAAATAGATAATAAAGGAACAAAAGAGCCATCCAACAAAGACATCACAAGAATCAATACCTCTACCTATAATTATCCCAAACCCAGTTGAATAAACAGCAGTTTAAGAATACATTCAACAACATAAAGAGCAATATGGCACCACCAGAAACTAGTGGTTCTACAACAGCAAGACCTGAACATCCCAATGCAGATAAAGCAGAAGAAAACAATATTAAAAATAACTTTATGAAGATGATAGAGGCCCTTAAAGAGGAAATGAAAGACTTCCTTAAAGAAATCAAGGAAAAGACAAATAAAAAATGTAAGAAATCAATAAATTCCTTAAAGAAATCAAAGAAAAACCAATTAAACAGGTAAAGGAAACAGTTCAAGACTAGAAAATTGAAATAGAGGCAATAAAGAAAATACAAACCGAGGGAATTCTGGAAATGGAAAATCTGGGTAAATGAACAGAAACTACAGATGCAAGCATAACCAACAGAATACAAGAGATGGAAGAGAGAATCTCAGACATTAAAAATACGATAGAGGAAATAGATTCATTGGCCAAAGAAAACATTAAATCCAACAATTTCTTGGAAATCCAGGAAATCTGGAATATCATGAAAAGATCAAACTTAAGAATAATAAGGATAGAAGAAGGAGAAGAATTCTATCTCAAAGGCACAGAAAATATGTTCAACAAAATCATAGAAGAAAACTCTCCCAACCTAAAGAAGATACAAGAAGCTTATAGAACACCAAATAGACTGGACAAAAAAAAAAAAAAAAAAAAAAAAAAAAAGAGTCCCCTCACCACATAATAATCAAAACACTAAACAAACAGAATAAAGAAAGAATATCAAGAACTGTAAAGGAAAAAGGCAAGCTCCAGGAATCAGTTGGAGAGAGGGAGGAGGGGTTATCTGAGCAAGGGATTCAAGATCATGACCGGGAAACCCACAGAGACAGCTGACTTGAGCTCCTGGGTGCTCTCGGACCAATAGCTAGGGAGCCTGCATGGGACCAACCTAGGCCCTCTGCATGTGGGTGACAGTGGTGCAGCCTGGTCTGTTGGTGACAGTTGTGTAGCTTGGTTGTTTGTGGCCCCTAGCAGTGGAATCAAGATCTGTCCCTAGATCATGAGCTGGGTTTTTGGAACCTATTCCCTACGGTGTGATGCCTCGATTGCCTTGATGCAGAGGGAAGGAGATTGGCCATGCCTCAACTTGGTATGCCTTGCTTTGTTGACTTCCATGGGAGGCCTTACCCTTTCTGAAGAGTGGATGGGAAGGGCGTAGTAGAAAGGAGGGGAGGGAACAGGAGAAGAGGAGGGAAGGAAACTGTGATTGGTATGTAAAATAAATTTTAAAAAATAAACAGCAGAAAAATGTCAAATTTCATGTTATGTATTTCATCATAACATATTTTTTTTTTAGATTTTTACTTATTTATTATATACACCGAAGAGGGTGCCAGATCTCATTACAGATGGTTGTGAGCCACCATGTGGTCGCTGGGAATTGAACTCAGGACCTCTGGAAGAGTAGTCAGTGCTCTTAACCTCTGAGTCATCTCTCCAGCCTCACCATAACATATTTTGAAGCATTGGAAAGAAGCAGAGATCTTGGCTAGACTGGAAGCACCGGGCATGTGTTTCCTCCTATGGTGGGAGCCTTAAATCCAATCAGACATCAGTTGGTTACCCCTGAGGCATGACCTATGGTATCCATGGGCACTTCTTGCCACCGTGGTCATTATTGTAGTCCACAGCTGGATAAGACTGCTGGTGACTTTCTGCCCCACAACAGGCTGCCTAGCACCCTTTGGTACTGAGAGCTGGTCATCAGGAAGGAAGCTGCTTCCTGGCCAGCACCAACTTAATTTTCCCATGTTCTGTGATTCGTGTATATTTATAAAAAGAGTTTAGTTGGAGTAACCCTACATAAGGGATAAGATTCTCCCCAGAAGACTATCAAATAAAAAGCCCAGTGTCAGGTATGGGATACCTCCTTTCAAACTTTTGGGTCAGGGCTGTCCCAGAGAGCCCCATAAACAATACAGCCTATTGCCATTGCTCGTGGATGTCCATCAGCATTTGATAGTTTAGACCCTATTGCTGAACATACATGAATCATAAAACATAGAGAAATTAAGTTGGTACTGACCAGGAAGCTTCCTTCCTGATGACCAGCTCTCAGTACCAAAAGGTGCTTATGTAGCCTATTGTGGAGCAAAAAGTCACCTACAGTCTTACCTTGTTGTGAACTCTAAGAATGAAATGACCATCTGGCAAGATATAGGTACAATTAGCATGAATATTACAGGGGTAACCATCTGATTTCTGGTTGTATTTAAGGTCAACTCCACAAGAAGAAACATGCCAAGAACCCATGGTAGGGCTCTTACAGTTCCTGGGGGTGAATTTACAACTAATATTATGCTAAAAATAGGGTCAAACTGCTCTCCAAATTTCTATCTCTCTACCCGTAGATGAATGCAGCTCTCAGACATCAACAGAGGAATTTCTTTTCTTTCTGCAGTGGACAGTAGTTAACTCAGAAACTCACTAGTGGGCAAGGTACAGAAATACTCATCAGTAGAGCACTTATCCACAAATGGGACATGTGTAGCATCCCCTCTCTGCAAGGCTCAGGGACCATCTCGGAATAGAGGATGGAAAGACTGTGGGGGTCAGAGGTCAGAGAGGACCAGAGCAGACAGTGTTTCTGGACAGGACAGGACCACTGCATTCCTGAACTGGAAGCACTTGTGGCTGCCCGTGGGAGAGAGTCACAAGATCAAGCCAATCGACACAGTAGCATGGGACAGGAAAGGGCGTGTGAACTTCCACCCCTAAATGAGAAACTACGGACAGTTTGGCTTCTCTGGCAAAGAAAATTGGTTTCCTTTGAGGTGTGGTCCCAAGTGAGTCCACCAAGCTCCAGTAGATGATCCCACACCTGGAAGTACGTGGGCAGCACAAAACGAACTCTTCAGGTTATTTAAAAAGAGGACCTTAGGTTGAGGGGAGTAGAAAAATGGAGAATGGGGAAGAGAAGGACAAATACAGTGCATGAATTTCTCAAAGAATTAATAAAAATATTACATTTATAAAAGATTACCTATTAGAAGGAAGTCTGAACTATAGAAATGGAGTTTCACTCATTTTGAGTAAATAAGAATGAAATCAGACTTTGATCAGTCTTCATCTACTATAAATTCTAAACTGAGAAAATCAAACTTATAAAATGAGTGAAAATTATATTTAAAATTTTAGTTATACAATATAGCATATAATACAGTCTTGTAATTTAATGCAAGGGGGAAAAAAAGAATTTTCACTTTGACAGCTGCTATAATCCAAATACTGGTATATGCCATGATTGTATCACCACAATTATTTAAAAATAATATATCAGTGATAATTATTTCCTTTGTCTAAAAGGTAGTTCTGTTCATTTTTATAAGCAGGAAAAAAAATATACAAGGGCATAAACATGGTGACCCGAGGCATTTTCCATTATCACTTGCAAAATCTTTGAAAAAAGAAATGTATCTTCATTATTTAGCTGGCTTTTATTAAATAAACTAGTAGAGAACAGTAACCCAGATAATAAAAAAAGGAATATGATAAAGATCTATTTAAAGTTGCCTGTCAGAGACAAAAAACTGTCTCTACTAAAGACAATCATAGTTAAAAAGTAAGTCCTACAGAGAAGCTTCGACTTTAAACGAGAGAGAAAAGAGGAGACAGGCAAGCCGTTTTTCCGAAACACTTACGGCTTTTTCTCTCCACTACTAGGGATGAAGGCTTTGCTGAGGTTTTTTTTGGATTCTGCCATCATGAACCGTCTCCTCACTTGATTCAGGCTCACATAGCCTTCCCCTTCGAAAATCCTCACAAACTGAGGATCAAAGTACCCCGCCTGGAGGCTTGACATTTGTTTGGATCCCCCGGGCAGCATCTGTCTTTTTTTGCTTGCAGCCTCATTAAAGGGTCCTTCGGAAACAAAGAACATTAAAATCTTGACTTTCATACTAATTAAAGGGCATTAAAAAAAAACAACAACACAGGTTTCTTCTTCTCCACACACGTGTCTCTCCCACAGGCCTGCACACTCTCTGTCCCTTTATCTTTAATAAAAATCTTATTAGCAAAAAAAAAAAAAAAAAAAAAAAAAAAAAAAAAAAAAAAAAAAACTACACACAAAAATTCTCAATATGACGAGCCGATGAAGAGTTTGAGCTATAAAACCGAAAACTACATGAAAAGCAAGAGTAAATCTAAGCATTTCTTGAAAATGTTTGAACATTTGGGCTGGAGTGGGGTTTTTTTTGGGGGGGGGGATCCTGATTTTTTGTTGTTTTGGTTTTTGTGGTTTGGTTTGGTTTGGTTTGGTTTGGTTTTTTTGGTTTTTTCGAGACAGGGTTTACCTGTGTTGTTTTGGTGCCTGTCCTGGATTTTGCTCTGTAGACCAGGTTCACCTCTAACTCATAGAGATCCGCCTGCCTCTGCCTCCCGAGTGCTGGGATTAAAGGCGTGCACCACCACTGCCTGGCTTTTTAACTTGGTTCTTTTGAGACAGAGATTTTCTGTGTAGCCCTTGTGTTTCTGGAACTCACTCTGTAGACCAGACTGGCCTCCAACTCAGAGATTAAAGGTCTGCACCACCATGCCTGGTGGGGCTAAAGTCTCAGATACTGTCAACCTCAGAGCTGAATGAGACCTTAAAACAGTGGTTCTCAACCTTCCTAATGCTGCAACCCTTTAATGCAGTGCCCCATGTTGTGGTGACCCCCTACTAGAACATTATTATTGTTGCTAGTTCATAACTATAATTTTGCTACTGTTATGAATCATAAGGTAAATATTTGGGGAAATAGAGGTTTTTCAAAGGGCTGGCAACTCACAGGTTGAGAACTCTCTGCCTTAAAAGATCATCTAGCTCATCTAGCTCAGTGGGACCCATGGACTGTAAGGAACAGTGCTTATGTGTGAGATCAGGAAAGGGGCATTCCATACTAACATTGAAGCAACCCATATATATATATATATATATATATATATATATATATATATA